TCATTGTGCTGACTACACCCACCACTCTCAAGGTAGATGGTGTTGCGACTTGGATCCACCACACCCACTCTCACCCAGCCGACCCCTCTGCAATCCTGGAGGACTTCGTGGCACAATGGAACATCGAGCACAATCAGCGCAACCCGCTCAAGCTCAAGCTAGGCGCGCTCGACCTCCCTGATGCTGGTAACCTTGCTCATGATCACTCCTGCCACCGGGAGCCCACACACTCCCTATAATGTTACCTGGCAAATTATAGACACCAAATCAGGGGTGGTTCTCAGTCAGGCTTCTCAAATCCATCCCAAAGATACTTGGTTCCCCGAGTTGTGGGTTGACCTCCTGACTCTCCTTCCCAAACTAACAACCTATGTAGCCTGTAAATCTGCTAAGATAGGCAACCTACCTACTGACTCAAAATCATAAAGGACACTCAATTTCTACGTTTGCCCTGAGCCCTCGCGAACTCAGCCCTGGCCCTTGCGGAGGCACTGGAGGCTATTTCTGTGCTTCCTGGTCATGCGTCTCAACTGGACACATTTGGTGAGAGGCCCCAAAGAAGGGTGACCTGATCACCGTTGGATGACCAGCTGCTCCACCTTGTCCTTGTTTTGGCCGGGTCTACTGCAACCCCGTGTGCATTTCCTTCACGGAAGAGGGGAGAAAGGCTACCGGATGGGACACCAGGAAGACTTGGGGACTCCGAATCTATCAGTGCAGAGAATTTGGAATGGTGTACGCTACTGATTACCCTGCAATGTTATTCACCCTCCGGGTCCAAAACACTCCCCTCCACCATCACACCCCTTTGGGAGTAGGGCCCAACCAAATACTGGCTCCCCGACCTCAGCCTACCACGCCCCGAGTGCCCACGCCCGAAGGAACCTGGACCCAGCATCACAGCCCCTCACCCCACTTACACCTACGACGGGAACCAGGCCCTAGGACATACCTTACCATCTGAGGTAGACCCCCTTTGGAACATGGTCATTGGAGCATATTATGTGTTGAACACCTCGAGGCCTGAACTAACCAAGACTTGTTGGCTCTGTTTAGATGTCAGGCCACCGTATTATGAGGGCATCGCGATGAAAGGCAATTATACAACAGCCTCGACTGCCAGTTCCTGCAGGTGGCAGCAAACTGCTGCAAGGCTAACCCTCCAGGTGGTAATAGGGCAAGGAACTTACATAGGCAACGTACCCTCTGAACAGTCACATCACGGTAAAACTCTGGCTACCCCTGGGGTGGCAGCATACCTCTTATCCCCTGAGAATGCATGGTGGGCCTGTTCCAGTGGCCTCGCTCCTTGCATCCACTCCTCAGTCCTTAAATCCCAAAAGGAGGGCTTCTGCATGCTTGTGCAGTTAATCCCCAAGTTAATATACCACTCAGAAGGAGAAGTACTTAACAAATTAGACACCATTAACCCCCAAAGTAAAAGGGAGCCTGCTACTACCTTAACTATGGCAGCCCTCTTGGGGCTAAGACTAGCAGGAGCAGGAACAGGAATATCCTCGCTTGTCATACAAGACAAAAACTATGGAGCCCTAAAAGCAGCCATTGACTTAGACATAGAAAGAATTGAAAAATCCATCACCCATCTGCAAGAATCCCTCACTTCCTTGTCTGAAGTGGTGCTCCAAAACAGAAGGGGATTGGACTTACTATTCTTGCAGTAGGGGGGTTTATGTGCAGCCTTAGGGGAGGAATGTTGCTTTTATGTTGACCATTCAGGAGTTGTTAAAGAATCCATGGCCCTCATTAGGGAAGGACTACCGAAGTGAAAGCTAGAGAGAGAGCAATCTCAGTCTTGGTATGAATCATTGTTTAACTGGTCCCCATGGTTAACTACTCTTATTTCCGCCCTCGTCGGACCGCTTGTGATCCTCCGAATGTTGCTAACTTTCGGCCCTTGTATTATTAACAAACTAGTCCAATTTGTCAAGGAACGCATAGGAGTAGTTCAATTAATGGTCTTACAAGCCCAATACTAGCCTCTAGCATTGGAAAATGAGGTAGAAATGTGGTCCGTCTCATGATTGAGCTGTGAGTTCCAAGACAAGGGGGGAATGAAAGGACAAAGAACTCTCCTCCATCTTGTCTTGTAGGGCTGGGCCCTCAGCCTAAGCCCCCTTCCTTTTCTGAGAGTGACCACAAGAATACCAGTACTGTCCTAACTCCCCCAACCAGCACCTGAGTGGAACAATGAAGCTCGAGGAATGCAGTTAAGGTCCTAATAGGCTATAGTGGGGGAAGGCTCAAGCCTCAGAATGTGCTGGTCACTTCCTGACTTTTGTGCTATAAGACCCTGCTGAAAAACACTGACCAGAGTGACCAAACTCTGTAACTCCCATCACTTACCTAAGTCCACCCAAATGACTAGCCCTATATAACCTTTGTTCTCCCGGGGTGCTCTCTCTCTCTCTCTCTCTCTCTCTCTCTCTCTCTCCTCACTGCTGAGTCAGAAAGAGGCTGGGAGCCAAACACGGGTTTGAATAAAGATTCTTTGCTTTTGCAGCGGAGAAGGCTCACTGGTGGTTGATTATTGGGGACCCCGAACTCTGGGCATAACACTACACCACCTTCTATCCGTGGACTGATTCTACAACTCCTGCAGACAAAGAATCAGGGGTCCCATCCAAAAATTCCAGTCAGTCAGTCCTAGCAAACAGAGGCAGATAGGAAATAGTGACCAAGCAGAGGGGTATAAAGGCACCGGGATCTGCGTCCATTATAAGGTTGCAGGGAAAAGGAACTCAGTGGGACTTTTTCCCCTTCCTCATGTGGGAGTCTACTTGTTCTTCAATAAATCTCCACCTTTGCTATAGCACTTCTGTCCGTGGATTCATTCTTCAATTCCTGCAGACACAGAATCAGGGGTCCCATCCAAAAATTCCAGTTCACTAAGATGTAAACCTCCATTTCTCTGGGAACAGCAAAAGGTCTATATTTACAAAATAAAGGGAAGGTAGCCCTTCATTCAGAAAGAGAAGAAGAAAGCCCAAAGGGAATAGGAAAGCAGTAAGGAAGGAGGGGAGGAAAAGCCTCACATGTCCCATGTGAGGTTCAACCTTTGAGCTCATTTTCATTCAATTCATATATTTTTTTCTGAATTAACCTATTTTTGCCATTCTCTTTTCTGGCTCTTTATTTTACAGAAAGTTAATAAATACCATCAAACTCTTTTTCCAAGGTTTCCATTTACACCAAATGATATTAGGATTTCCTTTAAGCAAACACTACTTACCTATCTATACCTTGTCACTGGATGTTACTTACTTACCCAAGGCCTCTTTTCCTCTAGCCTCAGAAGACAGATCATGCCCTGACTGGTTTGCCTTAGTGGATAGGGCATTGTCCTCAGGACTGAAGGGTCCCTGGTTCGATTCTGGTCAAGGGCAAAAAAAAAAAAAAAAAAGAGAGAGAGAGAGAGAGAGAGAGAGAGAGAGAGAGAGAGAGAGAGAGAGAGAGATCACGCTGCTATATACCTTGAAAGCTACTCCCAGAAAATTTAGTGACAGACTGTACTAACAGATCTACTTCCTTTGGCAATCCAGCCAGTCAAAACATTTAATTTTCATGTTTAGTTGGAATATTGATTTTTAAATATCAGTTTCCCAGATTATTTCAACATTTCCTTCTTAACACTTTATTTGAGAAAACTCATTGATGACACACTTCAAAGCTGCTTGTCACTCTTGGATTCTTTTAAACATATAACTGACCTTTCCAATGTAGTTGGGAAGAACTGTTCACATTAACATAACATAAAATTTGTTCACAGTTTGAATTTATTTTCTAAAATCACACTTAGAACTCCTTTGTTTTTAAAAGAAAGTTCTGTATATGTACAGCAATAATGCTACAACTCCACAAAATATGCCTTAAAATGTTATTTAAAACATTGGTTGGTTGAAACGGTTTTAAAATTGGTTCAAGATTTCTGATTCCAGTGAAGATGAAATAACACAAACTATATTTACTTTATCTCTATCTCTTTTCACCAGAGATAAGAAAAAATGGAGATAAAAATGGGGGAGCTGGGAATAGCAAAAGGTCTATATTTACAAAATAAAGGGAAGGAAGCCCTTCATTCAGAAGGAGAAGAAAGCCCAAAGGGAATAGGAAAGCAATAAGGAAGGAGGGGAGGAAAAGCCTCACATGTCCCATGTGAGGTTCAACCTTTGAGCTCACTGGGATCTGTAGCCTTTATAAGGTTGCAGGGAAAAGGAACTCAGTGGGACTCTTTCCCCCTCCCCACGTGGGGGTTGAAAGAACGAGGGCTAAGCCCTCCATCTTACTCCGGAGACACTGACTTACGCCCAGCCAATCCGCAGGGCCCACAGCCATCTCTCCTCCCCTTACCCCCTTGCTCCAACCCCCCTATTAAACCCCCTCTTCCCCTGGGGTTCGGGCGCTCTCTTGGCCATTTGCTTGCCCCTGCTTCAGCGAAGCTGACACGAGGGGGGGGGGGCGAGGGAGGGGGGCACAAACTAGTTTGAATAAAGACGCTCTGCTTTTGCATTGGACTCGGCTGGCTCCCTGATGGTCTTTTGGGGATCTTGAAATCTGGGCATAACAGTAGTCTACTTGTTCTTCAATAAATCTCCACCTTTGCTATACCACCTTCTGTCCGTGGATTCATTCTTCAATCCTGCAGACACAGAATCAGGGGTCCCATCCAAAAATTCCGCCTATCAGAAGGAGAAGAAGCCCAAAGGGAATAGGAAAGCAATAAGGAAGGAGGGGAGGAAAAGCCTCACATGTCCCATGTGAGGTTCAACCTTTGAGCTCATTTTCATTCAATTCATATATTGTTTTCTGAATTAACCTATTTTTGCCATTCTCTTTTCTGGCTCTTTATTTTACAGAAAGTTAATAAATACCATCAAACTCTTTTTCCAAGGGTTTCCATTTACACTAAATGATATTAGGATTTCCTTTAAGCAAACACTACTTACCTATCTATACCTTGTCACTGGATGTTACTTACTTACCCAAGGCCTCTTTTCCTCTAGCCTCACAAGACAGATCATGCCCTGACTGGTTTGCCTTAGTGGATAGGGCATTGTCCTCAGGACTGAAGGGTCCCTGGTTCGATTCTGGTCAAGGGCAAAAAAAAAAAAAAAAGAAGAAAGATCACGCTCCTATATACTTTGAAAGCTACTCTCAGAACATTTAGTGACAGACTGTACTAACAGGTCTACTTCCTTTGGCAATCCAGCCAGTCAAAACATTTAATAGTCATGTTTAGTTGGCATAAATATTGATTTTTAAATATCAGTTTCCAAGATTATTTCAACATTTCCTTCTTAGCACTTTATTTGAGAAAACTCATTGATGACACACTTCAAAGCTGCTTGTCACTCTTGGATTCTTTTACACATATAAGGGACCTTGCCAATGTAGTTGGAAAGAACTGTTCACATTAACATAACATAAAATTTGTTCACAGTTTGAATTTATTTTCTAAAATCACACTTAGAACTCCTTTATTTTTAAAAGAAAGTACTGTATATGTACAGTAATAGTGCCACAACTCCACAAAATATGCCTTAAAATGTTATTTAAAACATTGGTTGGTGGAAACGGTTTTAAAATTGGTTCAAGATTTCTGATTCCAGTGAAGATCTAATAACGCTAACTATATTTACTTCATCTATATGTCTTATCACTAGAGATAAGAAAATATTGAGATAAAATCTAAAATCGACACTGATTATTCTCTGAATAATATTTCCATCCAAACTGCATAAGTATAGTCTGGAAAAAAGGTAAGATGTAAAAAGCAATATGAAATAAATTATGATAAACCCAATAGAATGAGTGGGAGAGACAAAGGGATGAACATAGGCAGAGACTTGGTGACTCCCTGAATTGAGGGGAAAGAATTGAGGGCCTAGTTGACCAAGGCATTGATAGAAGAGAAGAGAGCTGCACAAAGAAATGACTCCAAAGCTCTGCAAAGGGACCACCCTGACTCCTCTAGCAAGTGTTGAATAGCACATGCATGTGAAAAAACTACCTCAGCATGAAAACTAGCTGAAAATAATAAAAAAAGACAAATACCTTGATGATTATACCTAAATAAATGGATATTTATAGATTAGAATACTCAATTTGTTAGAACATCAAATCTCTCCAAATTGATCTACAGATTCAACATATCAATTGAATTCCCAGCATACTTTTATGTTGTTGAAATTGACATTACTCTAAAATTCACATGAAAATTCAAGACTTTGAATAACCAAAACAAAAAGGAGAACGAAGAACAAAGGAGAGAGCATTACTATTGCAACTAAAGATTTATTATAAAGATACAGTAGTAAAGACAGTGTGGCAGTTAAACTTACCTAAGCACATATAAACAATTGACTGTCATCAAAGGTAAAAAGACAGTAGATAGATAAATATGGATATCCATATAAAAATAAAAGCTGTGATCTATACCTTGAACTGTATACAAATTTAATTACATTTGTAGACCCAAATGTCAATCCAGAAATTGTAGGTCTAAAGAAAACATAGACAAAATTGGAGAACATTCACCCCGAATTAACAAATTAGACACAGCTAAGGAGACAATTTTCAATAAGGAAGGGCCGAGGACACCTGGAGAATGCCGCTTGCCAGACATAACCCACATGGAACCACCACCATGCCCTGGCATTGAGTGGCACAGTGCCTCTCAGCAGGCTCCCAGATGTCTGCAGGGAGTGCTGGCCAGAGAAATCTCCTGCACCAGGCCTCCTCATCAGCCTGCCGGGACCCAGCATCCTAGAATCTGTCTCCAGTATCCCTCAGTGAGTGCAAGCCAGGGGGAACCCTGTGCCCCACCCCTGCCCTGGGCCCAGGAACCATACTGCTACCCTGACCTGGAGCCACCCCGTATATGCTCCACCCTAAACCCCAGGACCTGATGCCCGGGAGACCCGGAGCAACCCAGAGTATGTTCTACAATGGGCTACAGGAGAGCACAGACTCTGCAACCCAGAGCAACTGGCACCTGCTCCACCCTAGCCCCTGAAACAGCCCTGTTGGTATGACCCAGAACAACCCAGTGCATGACCCACTCTGGGCCACAGGCCAGCACAGACTGTTCAACACAAAGCAACCCAGTGAGCACCTCACTCTGGACTACAGGAAAGCACAGACTGTGTGACCCAGAGAAACTTGCCCTCGGTCCACACTGGGAAGGGCAAACTGGAGCAACCCAGCATGTGCCTCAATCTGGGCTACAAGAAAACCAGGACTCTGAGACTCAGAGCAACCTGTGACCACTCCACCTGAGCCAAGGGACTGGCTGCTGGGGCAACCTGCAGTAACCCAGCGTGTGGCCCATCCCCAGCCACAGTAGAGCTCTGATGCTGCAAGCCAGAGCAACCCGCACCCCCTTACCCTGGTCTCTGAGATGGTCCTGAGTGGCTACCTAGAGCAACCCAGCATGCGACCCACTCCGGGCAACAAGAAAGTGCTGCAGGGGCAGCCCGGAGAAAGCCAGTGTGCCGAGTCAGGGGCCCAAGGTCTGTGCAGCAAGTGCACTGGCAGAGGAACCTAGGGTGCCACCTGGCCATGGGTTCTGGGGCTTCACAGAACATTGCATGCCAGAGGGCTCTGGGTCCTCACAGGGAGTCACACATTAAAGGAACTGTGCATGCTTTCCCACCACCCCGAGGATCTGAAGCAGACAACTGAGGGACCAGGCAGCTGAGGGAGAAGGGGATACAACTCAAAGCAAAGAAAATAAAGGTGTGAAACTCAAGGTAGGCCAAGCCTCTGGGATCATGATTTCTGAACCATTGCCTTGATAGGGTCTTCAACCTCTCAAACCACAAGCAGAGTGCCCAGGGCCAGAAAGAGGCAGCAAAAATAGGGAGACAAAGAAACAAAACCCCAAGGAAAGAGAAGGAAGAATCAACAGAAGAGGAAGGAAATAAAACAGAGGCATGCAATATGTCAGAAAAATAATTCAGAGTAAGGGTCATACAGTTCCCAACTGGGTGGATGAGAAAGTCAATAACTTATCTATAAGAATAAAAGTGTAATATGCTAAATAGACGAGACAGCTGAATGACCTTCTGGACATCCTTCTGGATGACCTTCTGGACAAAGCCGGGGCTGTGAGGGGCGAGGCAAGCCGCAGAGGCTGCGTACGCCGAGACTCCTGCACGAATTTCATTCATATGGCTTCTAGTGTAAGAATAAAGAGGAAATGAAGAATGACATAGTGACAATAAAAAAAAAATAATGGAAGTTTTCAACAGTAGACTAGAGGAAGCAAAGGAACGAAATATAGTGGGGCCTTGACTTACGAGTGTCCGACTAATGAGTTTTTTCGAGATACGATCCATCTCTCGGCCGATTTTTTTGTTTTGAGTTGTGGGCTAAAATTCGGGTTATGTACGAGCCAGCTTCAGATACCCCACCGCTAGTTGGCGCAGTGACCGTCACAGTGATTTGACATACTAGTAATTTGAGTTACGAGCTCCGTCACGGAACCAATTAGTAGTTAGTTAGAAGACAGGGCAGAAAAACACCAAATCTAAACAGAAATTGGAGAAAAAATTAAAAAGCAGGAGGAGAGCTTAAGGGAGCTTTGGGACAAGAAGAAATGAAGTAACATATGTATAATAGGGATGCCAGAAAGACAAGAAGAGAAACAAGAATTAGAAAACCTACTTGAAGAAATAATGACAGAAAATTTCCCTGATTTGGGGAACAAAAATCTCACACAAGCAGAGAGAGTCCCAAACATGATGAACCCAAAAAGGCCCACACTAAGTCACTTCATAAATACAATGTTAAATGTTAATGACAAAGAGAGAATCTTAAAAACTGCAAGAGAGAGACAGAGAGTTACCTACAAGGGATCTCTCATTAGATTATCAAATGATTTCTCAACAGAAAAAGATCAGGCCAGAAGGGAAGATAATGAAGTATACAAGGTGATACAAAACAAAGGTCTGAATACAAGGATACTTGCCCTAACCAGTTTAGCTCAGTGGAAAGAGTGTTGGTTGGCCTGCAGACTCAAGGGTCCCAGGTTTGATTCCGGTCAACAGCATGTACCTTGGTTGTGGGCACATCCCCAGTGGGGAGTGGTGCAGGAGGCAGCTGATCAGTGTTTTTCTCATTGATATTTCTAACTCTCTATCCCTCTCCCTTCCTCTCTGTAAAAAATCAATAAAATATATTAAAAAAAAGAATACTCTATCCAGCAAGGCTACCATTCAATATTGAAGGGAAAATCAGGAGCTTCATAGACAAAAAAGGCGAAGAGAGTTTATCACTACCAAGCCAGCAATGCCAGAAATGCTAAAGGGACTGTTGTAAAAAGAAGAAATAGAAAGGGAAGAAGGAACACAGGCATAAAGAATAAAAATGGCTACAAACAAGTATCTATCAATAATAAGCTTAAATGTAAATGGATTAAATGTGCCAATCAAAAGACATTGGGTGGCTGAATGGATAAAAAAACATGACCCATATGTATGCTGTCTACAAGAGACTTACCTCAGAACAAGGGACTCACACAGACTGAAAGTGAAGGGATGAAAAAAATATTTTTAGGGAAATGGAAATGAAAAAAAACTGGGGTAGCAATACTTATATATTACAAAATAGATCTCAAATTGAAGGCCATAACAAGAGATAAGGAAGGCCACTTCATAATACTAAAAAAATGGATACAATAAAAGGATATAACTCTGGTAAACATATATGAACTTTTACAGGAGCACCCAAGTACATAAATAAATTCTGGAAGATATCAAAGGAGATATCAACAGCAATAAAATCATAGTAGGAGACTTGGATACCACATTGATATCACTTGATAAATCCCCTATAGATAAAATCAACAAAAAAACCTCCAGCAATCCTAAATGATTCACTAGATCACATGGAATTAATTGATATCTTCAGAACATTTCACCCCACAAGTACGAAATATACATTCTTCTAAAGTGCACATGGGACATTTTCAAAGAGAGACCACATATTGGGACACTGGCAAAGTCTCTTCAAATTCAAGAAGATTGAACTCATATCAAGATATTCTCAGATCACAATGGCATAATATTAGAAATCAACTATAATA